GAAGGATTATTAATATATTCCAGATGAGTCCTCTGTTGGATATGGTTATTATAAATACCTCCTTCTACTTTTTGACTTCTTTCATTTTATTGGTATGTTTTGATAAATAGATTTATTATCTTAATATATTTTTTCTTTTCATGATTAGTACTTTTTGTGTCCTCAAAGATCATTAAAATGTTCTCGTATGTTTTCTAGTTCTAAAAGCTTTATTATTTTACCACTTACATTTAAACCTGAAATACATGGGGAATTGAATTTGTTACATGATATGAGGTAGGGGTGAAAGTAGATTTTTTTCTCGAAGGATATACAATTGACACAGCACCACTTATTGAAAAGACCATCCTTTCTCTGCTGTCCTGGAATGTCATCTTTTTCTTATACTGGGTGACTGTACAAGTGTGAGTCTATTTCTGAATCAAAAACAATATTTGATGAAAAAGAAGCAAAGATGCAAAATGATACACAGAGAATAGCATCTATATCACTATTAAACAATTATTTAGTGTAGTTTTATATTTGTATAACATATACATACAGTAAAAGTAAAAAAGCATGAACTGGAAGGCTACACAACAAACTCATGTTAATTGCTGCTTCTGGGACAGGGAAGAGGGAAGGAAGTAACACTAGGTAGGGGAACAAAAGAAATTGTACCTTAACTATCTATAATGTTCTGTTTCATTCACTAAATTTTTAAAAATCCACAACAAAAAAGATCAAAACTAGGCAAATATGGCAGAAATTTTTATATCATTTATTCTCACCAAGAATATTAGGATATATTAATATGGAGGTAATCGTCAAATACAAATATATTATTCATCTAAGTAGTTATTTATACCTCCTTTATAAGTGTCTTTATTTTATACAAAATCTAAGACAAAAAAACTTTATACACACCTCAACTCAATAAAAGGTATATCAGATATAATCACTCATCTCAAAGTTCAGACATTAATAAGGACTCTAATACATGGTTCTACTTAATGGGTGATTAAAATACACTGCAAGAGAGTAGAATATTTCTTGAAAATTACAGATGCTTTCTCTCATCATTTTTAATGCTCCAACCAAATAGGAGGCATGTTTAGGTTCTGGGAACTTAAAGATGCATAATAAAATATGGTCCTGCAACCAGCATCATGTTCCTAAAG